GTGGACCTCATCACAGCCACAGAAACTGCCATACGGATTAATAAATTATCACAGACAGAAGCAGAGCAAATCAGGATGAAAGTCTCGGCCACCCTCTCCAGCGCCAAAGTCGCTCCGTCCAACCTCACAATACGAGAAAAGAAGGCCGTCGCTTCCCTGAGCAAAGACCACAACATCACTATACTACCAGCGGATAAGGGAAGGTTCACTGTGGTCCTAAACACTACGGATTACCACAGTAAGATCACTACTCTCCTCAGTGACAACAATACTTACAAAGCCTTAAAGCTCCACCCCACAAGCAGCTACAAAAAGAAAGTTATAGCTTGCCTTCAAGACTTTGAAAAGGACAAAATCATTGACCGCCTTACATATCACCGCCTTTACCCAGGGGATGCCATACCCTGCATTTTCGGACTTAGATCCACAAAGAAGGGGTCCCATTCAGACCCATTGTCAGTAGCATAAACTCAGCCACTTACAACACCTTGCTACCATCCTTGCACCTCTTGTGGGGAACACACCACATCAAGATCTCCACCGACTTCACCGACAAGGTCCAGAACTTACCCTGGCTCCAGATGAAACCATGGTGTCCTTTGATGTAGTCTCTCTCTTCACCTGCATACCCACCATGGAGGCAGTGGAGACTGTCAGAAAACGACTACAAGAAGACAGCTCCTTCGAGGACAGGACCAACTTCACACCGATCAGATCTGCACACTGTTAGACCTCTGCCTCACCACTACATATTTCAAGTACAACGAAGGCTTTTACAGACAAAAACATGGCTGTGCCATGGGCTCCCCCGTGTCACCTATTGTAGCCAACCTTTACATGGAGGAAGTGGAAAGAAAGGCTCTTGGCTCTTTCAAAGGAAGAGTACCCAGCCACTGGTACAGATATGTGGACGACACCTGGGTCAAAATCAAGACACAAGAAGTGGAATCCTTCACTGCGCACATTAACGCTGCGGATTGACCTTCGAACTGAAGAAGCTTCTCGGATGAGAGGTGAAATGTCTTCAAGTAACTTAAAGAAGTCCAGGCGCTTTTCTTTGCAAGCTCCTTTGCCAAACTTGGAGTAATCAGGACCCTACACCACCGGGCAGAACATGTTCCCTTTAAGCCTGAAGGGAAAAAGAAGGAACACACACATGTAAAGGAAGCACTCAAAACGTGGTTATCCTAATGGGCGTTTATAAAGTCAGCAAAGAGGCACAGAAAAGAAGATCAGACACCAGCGAGGAGGATAAGAAGAAGACCAACAACATTGTCATCCCCTATGTAGCCGGTGTATCAGAGAAACTCAGGGGAGTTTTCTCCAAGCATGACATCCCAGTGCATTTCAGACCCAGCAACATACTCGGACAAAAACTGGTTCACCCAAAAGACAAAACGCCAAAACACAAACTTAACAATGTGGTGTATGCTGTACAGTGCAGCGAGGAATGCCCAGACCTCTACATCGGAGAGACCAAACAGCCACTTCACAAGCTCATGGCACAACACAGAAGAGCCACCTCCACAGGACAAGACTCAGCAGTCCATCTGCATCTTAAGGATAAAGGACACTCTTTCGAGGATGCCAATGTTCACATTTTGGACAGAGAGGACAGATGGTTTGAAAGAGGAGTGAAAGAAGCCATCTATGTCCACTGTGAGCGACCATCTTTGAACAGAGGCGGGGGTTTACGACACCAACTGTCTGCCATCTATAATCCAGGTTTGAGTTTCCTTCCCAGACGCCTTAACGCCCACTCACATCCTGGGCCATCTGACCTCAGGAAATCACATGATAGGGTGGGGCCAGGTTTCACAATGAGCTCACCCGAAACCTTTGCTGATTGTGACCCACACCTGCTTTCATACCTTGGCTCATGTGATTAGGTAGAGGATCATGAGGGGGTCCTTTTGTCCCTCTATGGGGGGATACTCCCACTAGGTTTATATCTGGGACTCTCCGCCATTTGACCTTAGAACTGAAGAAGCTCCTCGGATGAGAGGTGAAACGTCTTCAAGCAACTTAAAGGAGTTCAGACGCTTTTCTTTCCAAGCTCCTTAGACTACGATGACCTGGATGACTGAGAACCTTCACAGACATCTTCCAATCAGTAGGAGACCTGCTCTGCTTCCTGAGCTACAGCCACATCTTACACATGTAACATTAACTCAGGTTTATGTGATGCACACCATTCACAACAAACACAGGATGGGCTATTTGCTTTCCGTCCCAGCAGCTCTCGTCTGCATTGTCAGCCCAGGAACTAAGTCAGGCTCGCTAACTCAGGAGTCCCATGAGTCCTATGACCTTACCAAGGCTGCTGGGTAATGTAATTCACGCTGACACATACTTTGCTACAGTGGATGTGTAGACTGGGGACTAAAATTAAGGCACATGTGGCCAGAAGGGGACAGAGGAGGAATGCCTCCCCTGTACCTCAGTGACAAACTTGTAATCCTCTGCAAGTGTGGTGGTGTGATGGAGCGGGAGGAGGGACAGGAGGGGTTTCCGCATGCTCTCCAGCAAACTCTGGGATACCAGAAAACAAAAGGTTATCTCTTATGTCTCCAAAAAGTTGATTCTGTTCATCTGGACGTAGCGGTTTGTGGGAGAAATGTTTCGTCACACATCCAAGTGACTTCTTCAGTCTCAGCTGACTGCAGGTTTCCCGAATCTTATAAACAGTACATTTGCATAATGACTGAAACCAGCCTGTAGGAACAATGGGCTGGGAGGTCAGTTCCTTAATCATAATTATGCAAATTCTCATGACCATTGATCAACAACCACTGACCAAAACCCACTGATCAATGGCCATGAGTACCATTCACAGAGAGTTGGGGAATGGTTGCAATCAAGCATTGTAAGATGGTGAAAGATGTACCATCATGGTGAAAGATCACCATCTTGCTTTCACATAAGTGTTGCAAGTGAAGTGGTGGCAATAAACTTTTAATGTGAAAAACAAAATCCAGGAAGCATTTAGTTTATGTGACATGCAGGCCTTGTGCTATTCATAACACACTCTTAAAGAGTACAGTACAAACCCAACTGAGCAGCTCAGAAAGTTCTTCACTTAAACAACAGCCAATCAGAAAAGAGCATCAAACCACATGAAGGCTGTGAATTTTGCCTCCTTGATGACACTCGAGGTCTTAGACTTTCAAACTGCTTCCTGTGCTCACACTGAACGTTAACACACACACAAACGTACAGGACAGACACACACTTTCCCACAACTATACACACTCTATTATTAGTTTTGTCTTGAGAAATCTGACTGTAGCCTCCGCTGTTAGCTCAGTGGAAACAGTAGGAGGAAGTAGCTGATGTGTTAGTCATGGGCAACATACAAACATACAAAAAATATAAAACATACAGAAGCCCAGTGGTCATATTGTTCAGGGTTATCTGTGCCTCCAGTGTATCCATGTCTGTGGAGCCTGAGGTCTATGCAGAATAAATCTGAGACCTGAATTTTTAAAAAGTTTGGTTTGTTGCAATGTTGGAACTGAATTTAAGACATTTATATTTATATCAGTGTCTCAGTTTCACATGTCACGTTGTTAATGTACACATAAATAAAAAAATCTTTACACACAATTTAAAAACCTTTAGATTATTTTTTACAATATCTAAAGAAAATGTGACCGATAATTAGTCATATACAGCTGCAAACATTATATTATTGTTGCAATAGCTACAAGTGCTGATGAATAGCTCATATTTTGATATAGCTCATATATCTTTCTTCTCTTCATGTAGACTGCTGCTGTGAAACCATGTAAACCAGAGAGTTTACAAGGTGATGCTTCAAAACATGCTGAAGCAACAAGATGAATATAAGAACTTGTCAACATGTCAGGATGATTCATGAAACTTGAATCTCGCAACTTAAATACTGTCACATTTCCATTAAACTCCTCATAGTTTAAGATTTACTGTGTGTGTGTGTGTGTGTGTGTGTGTGTGTGTGTGTGTGTGTGTGTGTGTGTGTGTGTGTGTGTGTGTGTGTGTGTGTGTGTGTGTTAAAGGTATCCGCCCTGCAGTAAAACTTGAGAACCTGTAGTTGCATCAGAAACAGGACGCTATGACCACAGTGTTAAAGTCAGTCTGTGTGACACAGATTAACGACACAATCCAGGTCACAAAGAAAAACGCTCATTTTACTCTCATACAAACAGTAAAGAACAACAAGGTGATCATTTATCAAATTTGACTAAGTTTTGGAAAAACAAATGAAAGATGAAAGGTTAAAAACTAAGCCACGCATGCAGGAGAGAGGTTCAGTTCTCACGGCGCATCCAGAGAGTGTCCGGAGTGGTTCACGTTTTGTCATGTGTGGTGGAAGATTTCTTTTCTCATGTATTAATCACATATTGAATCATATCACATTAGTTATAGTAATATCACTTTCTCACTTTACTATAGTAAGAGCACTCCTGTAGCTAGTTTCCATGCATGTGGAATGTAAACACAGTGAGGCCATTGTAATGGGAGAGGTTAAACAGATAGTGGGACTCCTGCTTATCAGGGATGTAAATCCTTAGGTGGCGGCCAAGCAGAAAACAAGGTCATAATTCTCTCTGTGAGGGAGGAGGTATAGCCCCCCCGTGAGAGGCCAACATATGAGTTGTGGAATGTTCTCTGTCTGTGTCTCTGTATATAAGATGTAAGGGCTTTCTCCACATTGCAATGTGTTTATTAAACCCACTTCAAATCAAGCTCACTGGGTGTGTTGCAGGTTATTGTTAAATTTTCCACAACACATGTTGCAGCCTCATTCAAGATTGATTCATTTGTTTTCTTTTCACCTCTAAAATATTACAAACAAAATAGCTGTTGATGGTAGGATGGAAAAGGTTTCCTTTAAATTGTTTCAAATTTATTGAAAATATATTTTTTTTAAATAACATGATGTCATCGCCTCCAAATGAATTGCTGAGTTGAGCCTCATATTGACCTCTGAACTCAGCAGAAACTCTTTACTTTACAGCTCACTGGTTTGCCTTGTTGCTCTTGATGCTCTCTCCCCTTCTCTTTGTTGGATCGTTGACTCTCCTGGACATCTTTTTCACCTGCTCCCGAAAAGTCTTACAGATGAAAAAGTAAACAAGAGGGTCCAGACAGACATTAAAAACTGACACCATGGTGGCAGCCTCCTTCAGGTAGTATAACACCCCACCCACAGAGTTATTCCAGAAAAAACTATAGGGAACACGAACCAGGTGATAGGGCACAAAACAAACACAGAAGATGCTGACCAGCACCAACATGTTTCTGCAAGATTTCACCAGCTTCTCAGAGCTAGAGGAGGCCAGCTGCCTCTGCTGTGCCTGCAACACCTTGCGGGAGGTGCTGTAGTAGAAGAAGACCAGGGATATGAAGACCAAGAGGAAGATGATGGTGCAGCTGATTTGAAATGTTTTATGAAGGACGCTGAATGACGTACTGAAGAGGGGCCCACAGTAGCAGCGGTCAGAGGCCAGAGGATTGTGAGTGATGAAGAACATAATGTTGTAGGCGATTGTTTGAGCCAGAAGAAAAACCCAGGTGACCGTGGAGACGACGTGGGCAGTTCGTACTGTCTGCAGGATGTGAGTTCCTGAAGGATGGACGATCTTCAGATATCTGCAGAGAGAAGAGAAAATGTGGTAAAACAAACTTCACCAAAAAAAGTCACAGTGGTGCCAAATATGCAGAAGTCACTATACGGTGAAAATAAATATTCGTGTTGTTGCTAGGGCTGAAGAGTTTGTAAATAACCCAATAATCTGGTTTTAACATTCTCGTGAACTGCAAATGATACTCAGTAAAGGTTCCTTACCTGTTAACAGCGATGTACCCCATGAACAGGATGCTGGCGTACATGTTGAGGTACAGGGAAGTAGCTCCAATGCTGCAGTGGAGTATGTAAACAATGCCAGAGCTGCTGGCATAGTGGATTATCCGCAATGGCAGAGAGAGGCAGAGCAGGAAGTCAGCAGCTGTCAGGTGCTTCAGGTAGACCATCAAGCTGTTTGAGGCCTGCTGCCGAACTTGGTGAAAGTAAAACTTTAGGATGAAGCCATTGAGGAGTAAACCCACCTGAAGAGACACCGAGAGGATGAAGAGGACAGGACTTTCAAACATTCAGGTTCTAACAGGGCGCAATCTGAAAATTTTAACCGTACCGGAAACAGCAGACTGTAGACCAGCATAAAGAAAGGGTTGACTGATGGGATAAAAAGATCATGCGTGTGGTTGAGAGGTGAAGTCATATTTGTTGAGTCAATCATGCTTCTGTGGCTGAAAAATAAATACAAATCACAGAGGTTCTTCAAGACCAACCTTCTTTCATCTGATCAAAGTTAATTTATGTGTTTGAGGATGATTATTGTATTTAATCCTCAGAAAGCTTTCACTTGATACAAAAATGACGGCACATGTAGATTAAAGCAGTCACTTATACTATCACATTACCATAATTAGATTGATTTTTTTTCTTGTGTTTTACACTTTTCTCCCCGACACTCTTGGTCGTGTTTTATTTGAAGTGCAACTGGACATTGACCCACAAATTTTCATGAGAGTAGTAGCATGCCTTCTACTCTTTTTGGGACTTTTCACCACCACTTCTGGAGAACCTCTAAGCCACCCGATTGTTTACAGTAGGGAGCAGCTACTGGGCAACAGGTGCTCCCGGAGGAGCAACCCAAGATTGCGAAGAAATTACGGCGTCGGAGGAGGGGATGCAGGGCTGGAGTGAAGTAACGGGAAAGAAGGAGACGGTACAAACCAAGCATTCAATCCATTCTCATGGGTAATGTAAGATCTTTACCCAACAAGATGGAAGAGCTAATTGCGCTAACCAGACTGTAGTGGGAGTACCAGCAGAGCAGCCTCCTACTGATCCCTGAGACATGGCTCACGGACCACACACCGGACTCTGTCATAACTCTGGATGGCTTTCAACTGGTTAGAGGAATGCAATGGAGAGTGGTAAGAGGAGAGGTGGGGGACTGCCAATGTACATCAGTGAGCGATGGTGTAACCTGGGCACATCACTGTGAAGGAACAGCGCTGTACCAAAGACATTGAACTGTCAGCAGTTAGCGTCCAGTATTTAGTCAGCCACCGATTGTGCAAGTCCCCCCACCTAAAATGATGACAGAGGTCAGTAATTTGCACCAGAGGTACACTTCAACTGTGAGAGACAGAATGTGAAAAAAAAAATCTATGAATCCACATGGTAGGATTTGTAAAGAATTTATTCGTAAATCAGGGTGGAAAATAAGTATTTGGTCAATAACAAAAATACAACTCAATACTTTGTAACATAACCTTTGTTGGCAATAACAGAGGTCAAATGTTTACTATAGGTCTTTACCAGGTTTGCACACACAGTAGCTGGTATCTTGGCCCATTCCTCCATGCAGATCTTCTCGAGAGCAGTGATGTTTTGGGGCTGTCGCCGAGCAACACGGACTTTCAACTCCCGCCACAGATTTTCTATGGGGTTGAGGTCTGGAGACTGGCTAGGCCACTCCAGGACTTTCAAATGCTTCTTACGGAGCCACTCCTTTGTTGCCCGGGCGGTGTGTTTTGGATCATTGTCATGTTGGAAGACCCAGCCTCGTTTCATCTTCAAAGTTCTCACTGATGGAAGGAGGTTTTGGCTCAAAATCTCACGATACATGGCCCCATTCATTCTGTCCTTAACACGGATCAGTCGTCCTGTCCCCTTGGCAGAAAAACAGCCCCATAGCATGATGTTTCCACCCCCATGCTTCACAGTAGGTATGGTGTTCTTGGGATGCAACTCAGTATTCTTCTTCCTCCAAACACGACGAGTTGAGTTTATACCAAAAAGTTCTACTTTGGTTTCATCTGACCACATGACATTCTCCCAATCCTCTGCTGTATCATCCATGTGCTCTCTGGCAAACTTCAGACGGGCCTGGACATGCACTGGCTTCAGCAGCGGAACACGTCTGGCACTGCGGGATTTGATTCCCTGCCGTTGTAGTGTGTTACTGATGGTGACCTTTGTTACTTTGGTCCCAGCTCTCTGCAGGTCATTCACCAGGTCCCCCCGTGTGGTTCTGGGATCTTTGCTCACCGTTCTCATCATCATTTTGACCCCACGGGATGAGATCTTGCGTGGAGCCCCAGATCGTGGGAGATTATCAGTGGTCTTGTATGTCTTCCATTTTCTGATGATTGCTCCCACAGTTGATTTTTTCACACCAAGCTGCTTGCCTATTGTAGATTCACTCTTCCCAGTCTGGTGCAGGTCTACAATACTTTTCCTGGTGTCCTTCGAAAGCTCTTTGGTCTTGGCCATGGCGGAGTTTGGAGTCTGACTGTTTGAGGCTGTGGACAGGTGTCTTTTATACAGATGATGAGTTCAAACAGGTGCCATTCATACAGGTAACGAGTGGGGGACAGAAAAGCGTCTTACAGAAGACGTTACAGGTCTGTGAGAGCCAGAGATTTTCCTTGTTTGAGGTGACCAAATACTTATTCTCCACCCTGATTTACGAATAAATTCTTTACAAATCCTACCATGTGAATTCATGGATTTTTTTTTCACATTCTGTCTCTCACAGTTGAAGTGTACCTCTGGTGCAAATTACTGACCTCTGTCATCATTTTAAGTGGGGGAACTTGCACAATCGGTGGCTGACTAAATACTTTTTTGCCCCACTGTATGAACACTCTGGAAGGCACAGACTTTACAGACTGCTAAGGATCAAACCTCTACCAATATGCAATTGATTATAAAACTCTAAGCATAAATGAGTAAATATTTCTAAGCATAAATGACAATCAACCATATAAACCTAACAATTGTGGCTCCAGCAAACATCAGCTGATACTAGAAATTAATATTAAATAAATTCTAACAACAGCTGATCAAGCTTAAACGTGCTGCTGTTTAGCGCTACATCTGCTGGTTTCTTCTTTCTGATGCAAAGTGGGCGATAAACAAACAAGAGAGCTGATCAGCTGATCATTGATCAGTTTCATGATTGAAGTAGAAACAGGAGAGGAAGGGTGAGAGGATGAGAGAAGAAGAGGCAGCTGTGCAGCAAATACACAGAATAACTCCAGCTGTGTGTCTTTTTCATTGTAGCTGAAGTCCGGGACAAACTGCATTTCTTTTCACCTCAAGACGAAACACGTAATATTTTCTATGAATACGAGACGATTCTGGGATCAATAAAGTCTTATCTTATCTTATCTTATCTTATCTTATCTTATCTTATCTTATCTTATATATACTGAATCTTGAACACTGGCAGAAGGAGGCTGTGGTCCTGAGGTAGCTGTGTGAAGTGCTTCTCTTTCCTGTGGCAGGAGCTACTAAAAGTCATCTTTTAAGTTAAGTATGAAATCAGTAGAAATACAGATGATTTGAGGATGAGGAACCGGCAGGACTCACCTGTGTTTTTCCAGTTTTCGGTGAGCAGGAAAAGCTGCTTGTGCCTATACGTCCTCTCAGTTTAACAGTATCGCCGTTGATGAGGAAAAACACAGTAACCAAACTGCTAACCAGCGCTTTGACTTATTTCCTGTTTGTCTTCACTGCTATAAACAGAGACAGTAACGTGTCTTGAAGATGTGTGTTTATTACATACTTCACGTGTGTGCATTTCTTTACTTAGATGATCTCGTATTTAGTCACATCATTGATATTTGGCAATATTTACAGGCTGAAATCTGCCAAAAGCACCAACAAGACAGATGATTTCTGACCTGTCTGTGCTGGACTTCAGTCCTTTTGGCTTGTTTTTGTTTTAAAATATTGCTGTTTTTAATTGTACTTTGACATTAACTTTAATTTTAAGTGCACTTGTTATTCTGTTTATCAAAACCACCAACACCAGCTGCATCATCATCCTTCAGTTGTTTTTTCATTTTCCTGGAGTTCTTCTACTAGAGCACCTCCTACAGGGTGTTGCTGGCAAAGCTGGCCTCTTCTGCCTTTCATATTCAGTTGAGACCAGTGAGACCACTGCCTTACAACCCAGGCCTTCATAAACAACACAGGTTTTTACTGAGATTGGAGATCAATATGAGGCTCAAGTCAACACAAACATACGCCCAAACAGATAGCATGAGTTTATGTTCTTACTGTAGCCAATCAGGTTACAGTGCCACACAGCAAAATCTCCAGTGTTAAATTAACACTAGAGAGTCTCTATATGGGTCCACACCTCTGAGTGTTAAATACAACACTGTTGAGTGTTAAATTAACACTTTTGACAGTGTTATATGTTTAAAAGTAATCTAGTCAGTTTTGAAGATTAACAATGGCTAACACTGAGCAGTGCTGATTTTCTAACACTGGAAAATAACTCAAAATGTTAGAAATATTCCAATTCAAGTTGATTTTAAATTGATCTTGTAAATAAACATTAATAGTTCTGTGTTTGCTCTGTGACAAACTGAGGACCTGTCACAGGGTGTACCCCGCTTCGCAACCTCTGACAGCTGAAATAGGCAGCAATGTTTGGCTGTTTTAGATTTAAAATTCTAACACTGAATCATTTAAACAGCACTTAACATTTGTCAGCATCAGAAAAAAAGTGCAGAAATATTTGGTTTTCTTTAACTGTCACTTTAAGGTTTCTTTCAGGTGTTAAGTTGAATAAAACTGGTTTAGTAAATTTTCTGGGCTTTAATCACTTGGCTTTAGTTCCCTGCTGTAGCTCCACAGTCTCAGGGATGGACAGCCTGAGCACTGACAGAAAGCAGACAGCAGGTGGCAGCACATCACCAAGAGTAGTTCTGCTCACTGTGAATCTTCATCCCCAGTCTAACACAACAGAGGCCTAAGGTGACATTTAAATGTTCCAATCAGGGCACATTCAAACAAATAAAAATAGAAGTTTATCTCTAACACTGATAATTCCTGCTGTCAGGACAATGCTTTTACAGAATACCAGTCAGCTGTAAAAATAGCTTTTAATCTTTATTTATATAAAAAAAAAACATTGAAAACAAAATGTAAACCAGAAAAACATTTACATGAAACAAGTATTTCGTTCTGAAAAGTGCAAAATGTTTAGGAAACAAGATGACAAAGATTTTATTAGAAACTATGCTCAGTGGTGACATCAGCCATAGCATCATCATACGGATGGTCTTCATCTTCCTCAGTGGGTGGAGACATTGTTCTTTGATGTGAGCTTCTTCCTGTTAAGTGTATAGTGGGCATTAATTGTGTGAAACAATGCAAATGACCAAAAACTGACAGCCCACATCTCACTGA